CGGGTCACGAACCCGCGGGCTCAGGCAATCCACTCACCTCAGCCTCCCAGAGGCGCAGGATTTCAAGCACATTCTAAGTGCCATCAGCCATGTTGTGGCATGAAGCTAAAAATGGAGATCCATTATGGTATGTCACCTTGACTTTGCATGATATTGGTAGGACCTCAGATGGCCTGTGTGCAAATCCTTTTACTACTTTGCTCTCCTTGATGATGTATCATAGCCTAACAACCTTTTCTTTCAGGGAGACCAGACAGTGTTCCTGTCTATTTGTCAAGGGGTCAAGGCTATTATACTCTGTAGTGGATTTCAACTGATCCTTAACCCCTAGAGTCATTCACAGAAGCCATTTGTATCCTCTTGAAGAAAGCAGGGGCTGTCACACCCTCTGCATCTTATAAAGCTTGCATAGCACAGTCCCTGATTGCTCATTCTTTTTTTTTTTTTTTGAGTTGGAGTCTCACTCTGTCGCCCAGACTGGAGTGCAGTGGCTGCTCCCGGCCACCGCAGCCTTGACCTGCTGGTCTCCGGCGATCCTTCTGCCTCAGCCTTCCAAGTAGCTGGAACTACAGGTGCACGCTACCACGCCCGGCTCATTTTTTATTTATTGTAGAGATGAGGTCTCGCCAAGTTGCCCAGGCGGGTCGCTCACTCTTACCCATAGTGCCACCCACATGTGGCCCTGTGTGGTGAGTAGTGTCCCTCTCTCCAGGTAGTGAGTATATTTGATTTATGAACTGCTGTTAATAGACTGCTGTCTAGTGTCAGGTGTCACATGTGTGGCCATCACTATAACCATAGGGCGAGACTTTCCACCCTCATTGTTGAAGGAAAAGGAGGGGATTAAATCACTTTAATTTGTGTGAAAGCCAAAGAGAGGCCAATGGTGGAGGGCACTTGGCTGGGAATTGCCATGGACGTGTGACTGCAATCTAAAAATGAGGTTTATTTAGAGATAGTATGTCTTGTGTTCTCAGGGCACTGCACAGGGCATTATCTAATGTCAGCTATACCAGGGAAAGTGCCTGTCAGGAGAGGGTAGACTCCTAATATGTCAGGGTCATGGCATACATATTTATTTGTCCGCCTACTTCTTGTTGTTGATGACTGTACACCATGACCAGTAGGCCTAGATTTTCCTGTAAGTATGGACCCTTGATAGGATGGGCAGTGGTCTGTGTGTGAGAGAGATTTTTTCTGGGACATCAGCATAGGTTCTGTTTATGGTTTCATCTGTCCCCATCATAACAGGACGGTGTGACCTTTGAAGATGTGGCTGTGAACTTTTCCCGGGAGGAATGGAGTCTCCTTAATGAGGATCAGAGATGCCTGTACCGTGAGGTGATGCTGGAGAATGTGGCACTTATATTCTCCCTGGGTAAGTCCTTTACAGTCACCCTGTAACTTATGATAGTCTCTGTTTTTTCCTTTTTTCCCCCATCGGCAAGACTGCCTTTTTTACATCAGGAACCTGGACATAGCTTCCTTCTTTAGTTTTTTGGGAAGGTGCTGTGGTTGGTAGGAATGGAATGTGTGTACTGCCCTCTTCTTTGCTTTTGAGTGGTGCCAACACCTGCTCCTCTTCAAGCTCTCAGAGTCAGGAGTTTTTTCTTTTGAGTTGGAGTCTCACTCTGTCGCCCAGGCTGGAGTGCAGTGGCACACTCATGGCCACCCCCCAGCGTCAACCTGCTGGGCTTGGAGATCCTTCTGCCTCAGCCTTCCAAGTAGCCAGAACTACAGGCACACACTACCACGCCTGGCTGATTTTTGTTTTTTATTATAGAGGTCTTGCCAAGTTGCCTGGGCTGGTCTCGAACCCTCGGGCTCAGGCAAATCCACTCGCTTCGGCTTCCTAAAGTGCTGGGCTTACAGGCTGAGCCACCGAGCCTGAGTCAGAAGTCTTACTGTCACCCCAATGCACCCCACCTTTCTTGCCCTCTGTAGGGTGAGTCTGTCCAGATCTGAGTCTCCTGTGTGCCTAGGTTCTACTTCTTTCTGCTAGCTTACATTTTTCATGCCTGAATGTGACAGGAGTTACCATCACTGACATTGTCACTGTCTACATAGAGCATAGGCTGTTCTTGCAAGACCTTCCTTGACATTCTCTTTGCAACATGCAGTTTTCTTCTCTATGAACTATCTTGTGCTGGGTTGACGTGAGCCCATGTTGGCTTCTTCTGTCTTTGTATGTATGTCATTCATTTCCCATGTACTTTGTCATTTTGATGGTGGGATGGAGAACCGTCAATGACCCAAAAGATGCAAATGAATCCACTTCCGCACAAAGGGCTCAGAGGGAGCCTGAGTCTGAGGAGTGGCACTCTGGGGCAGGGTATGTCCTCAAGGCTGTATTCAAATCGTACCAGAAGCATAATCTGTTTGACAAGTATTTTTGTGGCAACATGAGTAGCCACACAGTGTTATATCTTTTTTCCTTGTTCTTGAGTGTTTGGAGAGTTTTCAGTTGTACACCTTGTCACTTTTACTCTGGATTTAAGCTCAAGAATAATCTTCATATCTGACAACACCATGTCCCAACAAAGTTTCTCACATCCCCATATGTAAAGGTCTCCAATATTGGCCTATAGATGATGTATTAGGAAACGTGTTCCTATGGTGAACTGTCCCAGACCAAACAGCTGCTGTTTCAAGCTCATTTTTGTGGGCCTGGATATAACATTCTTTATAGCACTCACATGTCATTAACACATAAGGTCCTACAGACCACTTGTTTGCACAGACAGGTGTTGTAGAACCTGCCTCATCTTCCTGTGTTATGCCCTTCACATCATGAAGCCACTGACAGTCTGTGACCTTTATAGCCTAGTAATGTTTTAGGTGGTTTATGCCTTCCCACCAGAGTTACCTTGTGTTTCACCAGCACGTTCTTTTTTTCAGGTCATTGGCATGGAGCTGAAGATGAAGAGGCACCTTCTAAGCAGAGCATTTCTATACAAAGAGAGTCTCAGGTGAGGACTCCTAGGACAGGTGTGTCTCCCAGGAAGTCCCACCTCTGTAAAATGTGGGGCCTGACCTTCGGGGACGTTTTGCAGTTGACTGAACACCAGGAAACATATCATAAGCAGAAACTGAACAAGTGTGGGCCATGTGGGAACAAATTGGATGATGGTGCAAATTTTTATCAGCACCAGAAGCAGCACAGTTTAGAGACAGCCAACAGAAGCCGTATTGGGGGGGCATCATTTTTGAAGAGCTATAAGTTTTTTGTACCACACGAGCCAGTTATCATCTGTCAGGATGGGAAGGATTCTTTGCCCAGTTCAAGATTGCCTCAGCAAGAGGCTACTCATGCTGTGGAGAAGTCTAACGGTGAAAGCAAGTTTGGGGTGCCCTTTCAGGAGGGAAAAACTCCTTACAACTATGGAGAATGCAAGAAAGCCTTCAGCACCAAATATTCACATGTTGAACACCAGAAACGTCTCAGTACAGATGGGTGTTATGTATGCAGTGTGTGTGGGAAAGGTTTTACAAGAAGGGATACCGTCACACGTCATGAAAGAAGACACACTGGAAAAAAACCTTATGAGTGTGAAGAATGTGGGAAATCGTTTAGTCAAAAGGCCAGTGTTACTCAACATCAGCGAGTTCACACTGGAGAAAGACCTTATGAGTGTGGAGAATGTGGGAAATTTTTTAGCCAAAAGGGCAACCTCATTCAACATCAGCGAGGTCACACTGGAGAAAAGCCTTATGAGTGTATGGAATGTGGGAAGTTATTTAGGTACAGGTCTCATCTCACTGAACACCAGAGACTTCACACTGGAGAAAGACCTTATAAATGTGGTGAATGTGGGAAGTTATTTAACAAGAAGTGTCACCTCATTGTACACCAAAGAGTTCACACTGGAGAAAAGCCATATGAGTGTGAGGTATGTGGGAAGTTATTTGGCAACAGGGACTGCATTACCATACACCAGCGACTCCACACTAGAGAAAAGCCATATGAATGCAGTGACTGTGGGAAATCATTTCCTTGCAGCTCTGCACTCAGTGTTCATAAAAGAGTTCACACTGGACAAAAGCCTTTTGAGTGCAGTGAATGTGGGAAATCCTTTGCTGATAGCTCTTCTCTCAAGAAACATAGAAGAGTTCACACTGGAGAAAGACCTTATGAGTGCACTGACTGTGGACAAAAATTTAGTCGAAGCTACTCACTCCACCAACATCAGAGAGTTCACACTAAAAAACAGTCCTTACTAGTGAAATAAAATTAAGAAAATTTATTAGTGAAACTTTTTGCTTCTTCAAGATGAGAGAATTTGTACCTGATAAAGGCTTTATGAGTATGGCCCATGTGGGATATTCTTTATCTGAAAGTCTAGCTTTATTATACACAGAAGAGCTTCCACCAGGGAAGTAGGGAAGTTCCTTTTTTTTTTTTGAGTTGGAGTCTCACTTTGTTGCCCAGACTGGAGTACAGTGGCATGCTCACGGCTACCCCAGTGTTGACCTGCTGGGCTCCGGCGATCCTTCTGCCTCAGCCTTCTAAGTAGCCAGAACTACAGGTGTGCGCTACCACACCCGGCTAATTTTTTTTATTTATTGTGGAGACGAGGTCTCGCCAAGTTGCTTGGGCTGGTATGGAACCCACGGGCTCAGGCAGTCTACTTACCTTGGCCTCCCAAAGTACTGGGATTACAGACTGAGCCATCAAGCCCAGCGGGGAAGTGTCTTTTAAGTGCAAGGATTGTGAAATAGCCTTCAACCTACTTGTTGGATAGCAGAACGTTCACATAAGAAAAACACCGTAGAGGGCATGTTGTTTTTTGTTGAGTGCTAACACTGGGGGAGATCTCTTATGAGTGTGCCATCTGCCTAAATGTAACGTCATGCATTGAACATCTACATAAATTTCAGGCATGTGGGAGCTGCATTGCACCTGCCCAGGTCCCTTTCCAGATTTATGTGATGGCCAGTTGTCTGACAAAAGCTATATCACCTCTACCACTTGGTAGATACAGTGTATCATTCACCCACTCCATCATCTTCTGGAAGTCAATCTCCGTTGTCTCTTTCTCACCAGAGGGATTTGTGTGTAGCCTTACACTTTTTCCTTTCTCATCTCTCTGGTGTGTTGTGCCACTGACCTGACTCATTTTTGACTCAGAGGACTCTTGTGATGACTTGAAAAGATGGAGTACCTTCTCAGGGATCTTGTGGGTCTCCATGATTTTTGAGATGTTTTTAAGCCTTAGGATTGCTAGCCCAAGAACAACCAACCCCTATTGCTGGGGTTTGTGCTATGGTGAAGACTTTATTGTTTAAACCTCATTCAGTCTCAGAAGTTGTATTCACTGTACTGGATGGTTGGGAAACAACTGGACTGTGATGTGGTAAACAGCATTTGTTGGGATCACTAAATTTGTGTTCTTCTCATGATATAATGTGATGGCATGATACAGTTGACTCCACTTGTGGCCTATTTTAGATGACTGCATAAATGCTTCCAAAGAAAGACTTTGGGTCTTTGTGATTCTTATTTGTGGGCTGGATAGTGTAGTAGTTTGTGGGTTCATAGGTCAAACTGACTGGTGGCCAGTTTTGTGACAACTTCTTGTTTTCTGAGAGAAACACAAGATTTTTCTCTTGTTTTCAAGGTTATTGCATTGTTCTGATGAGTACTGAGAAGGAAAATATATTCTGTATGTCCTGCAGTGTAGCCATATTCCCTGATGTCTAGAATTTGGCAGAGTCGGTTCACAGGTTGTAAGGTTATTGGGAATCTTCTGTATAGAATTCCTGTATTTGTAGGCAGTGGAGAAGAATACAACAAAGCATTTAGAATGGGCTTTTTTTTTTTTAAAGTCAGAGTCTCACTCTGTTGCCCAGGCTTCAGTGCAGTGGCACACTCATGGCCACTGCAGCCTTGACCTGCTGAACTCAGGTCATCCTTCTGCCTTAGCCTTCCAAGTAGCTGGAACTACAGGCATGCACCACCATGCCTGGCCTTTTTTTTTTTTTTTTGTATAGAAGAGGTCTCTCCATGTTGCCCAGGCTGGTCTTGAATCTGTGAGCTCTGGCAATTCCCTTCCCTCGGCTTCCCAACGTACTGTGATTATAGGCATGAGCCACAGAGCCCACCCCTAGAATGAGCATTTTTCATAGGTTTTACAGAATGGTTCAGGCCAGGGGCTATTTGCTTACTGGTTACAGATATGTCCTGTCCAAGTTTGGAGGGTTCATTACTATATCTTCCTGTTTGCACCACCAGAATCAACTGCTGCTCAAAGACTCCATTCTGCTTCTTGGACATGACAAATGAAACTAAATGTTCTAGACCTTATTTGCAATGAGACAATACTTTATATTATGTTGCTTAAATGCTTGATTTAAATTAATTTAAATTATGTTGCTTACTGGGTTTATCGGGAACTTTTAAGACAGAATAATACTTCTGATAATGAGGATATGGAGAATCAAATTTTGAGAGTTGAATTCAAACCTTTTCAAATTGTACTCCCAGCAGAAAACAAGTTGTAGGTTAATACAATTCTAAACGAAGCCAATCAGATATCTAAGGTGCAAATACAAATATGAAAGGGTATAATTATCTGATGAGTTGCAGATTATCAAAATGTGTTTTTAGTGTTCTTTTCTTTGATACTGTTTCTTTTCATCTCTTTACTTCAGCGTACCTCTCTGTTCACCATATTGTTATTTTTCAAACGTTTCCTTATTACAAATGTTACAAATGTTAAAAGTTACAAATAATGTACAAAAAATAAAGTGCCAGCTAAAGTTATGTTCTTTCATTATCTTGAAGGCACAGATATAGAAAGTAAGAAGGGTAGTTGTCTCTTGACCATTTATCCTTATCTTTCCTTTCTTTGTTACACACTGAGGAATAGATTTCCATTTTAATTTATTTCAATCCTAAAGTTCTATGTTTTATAAAAAGAAGAGCTCCTAAAGGATTGTCCCTAATTGCAGTGATCGTCTTATTTTAATGCAAAATGAGGAGACAGACATCAATGTAAGATGAAAGCCTTTCACGGTTTCAAAAGCCTTTCACATTATGTTACCTACCAGCCTAGACATCATGAGCGAGACCTTGTCTCTACAAAAAATCAAAAAATTAGCCCAACGGGGGAGCGCCTGTCTGTAGTCCTGGTTACTCAGGCTTAGGCAAAAGGATGGCCTGAGCCCAGGAGGTCGAGGCTGTGGTGAGCTGTGATCATGCCTCTGCATTCCAGTCTGGGCGACTAAGTGAGACTAGAGCCTTTGTATCCTCTCTGACAAACCAGATAATGGCACTAATTAATGAGGAAAAAAATAGGACATGGGTATTGCTTAATTCCTTTTTGATTCCTAATGCCCTACAGTTGAAGGCTGAGGTGGAAGGATCGCCAGAACCCAGCAGGTTGAGGTTGCGGTATCTGGGAGCGGCCACTGCACTCCAGTCTGGGCAACAGAGTGAGACTCCAACTCAAAAAAAAAAAGAATGGGAACTTTCTATTTGAATGTATCAAATTGTGTTATTTGGTATTCAGATTTCTTCTTTGGAAACTTTTTTTCTCTCCGCCCCCATCCCTGAAGAGTCAGCCTCTTGGCGTCTTTTGATCGAAGGGCAGTGTACTCAGAAAAAGGAAAATCTGAAAGAAAATTTTTTTAAAAGGGCTTAATATGGCAGGATGGATATATAGGAAATAGAAAGTAGGCCTAAGCTGAACTCTCTACCTGCAAGTCTGGAGTCTGTCCATTATTTCACTGAAACCTACAGAGTCCAGCATTGCCTATCAAATGAAGCAGAGGCAGGGTGGAATCATCCTCCATGTCCTAAAGACACCCATGTCCTCTAACTTTTTTTTTTTTTGAGTTGGAGTCTCATTCTGTCGCCCACACTGGAATGCAGTGGCATCCTCACAGCCACCCCAGCATCGACTTGCTGGGCTCCAACGATTCTTCTGCTTCAGCCTTCCAAGTAGCCGGAACTATAGGCATGCGCTACCACACCCGGCTAATTTTTAATGTATTGTATAGATGAGGTCTTGCCAAGTTGCTTGGGCTGGTCTCAAATCTGCAGGCTCAGGCAATCCACTCGCCTCAACCTTCCAAAGTGCTGGGATTACAGACTGAGCCACTGAGCCTGGCTATCCATTCTCTAACTTTTTACCTCGTGAACGTGAACTGCATATTTGCTTTATCTTCTGTATAATGTCCCTGAGGATTAACCAGAATCATAAAAATATCACCTTTGTTTCACTGCCTTTTTCTGTTTCCAAATGTATAAATATTATGTAGCCCACCGAGGGACTCATTCTCACTTTGCTCTGAATTTGTGTTGCTGGGTTTAGACCTTAAATTTGACTGAGAATAAAATAAACATGACATTTTGTTAAGTTTATAGTGCCTGTCAGTCTTTCAGTAAACACATCAAATCTTGCCTAAAAGGGACAAATTTTGCTGAGGCAACAGAAAGTACCCCCTAAGACCGCTAGTCTTCAAGAAGGTAGCCCTTGTGGGAGAGGGCAACACCAAGAAACTACAGATACAAGATGTATAGTGTGAAGAACTCTTCTTTTTTTGTTGGTTGCTATCTTGGGCTTTCTGAAGAAATTTTACTAACATGGATTGTGAGAATAAGTAATTGGATCGGTGTGTTTGGTTTTGAATGTTGCAGAGTAGAAGAGCATGTTTGGGTTGATAAAGGACCCACACCTCACCAAGGTGGAATCACAGAGGTAGTGTACATGATTGAGCCACATGGGAGGTTATTCTTTTTTTTTTAAGATAGGAAAATATGGTTTATTTAAAGTAAATTAGAGAGAAAAAGAAGATTCACCTCCCCAAGGTAGGGAAGGCGGACAAAACCAGGAAACGTGACCTGGCTATAGCTCAAGGAGCACATGACCACACCAGAGCTTAGCAAGGCAATGGCGACAATGGTCTGGCAATGACTAGAAGGTTATTCTGTAGTGAACAGTCAGCCTGAGGAACTGTAAAAGCAACTTTAAAGTGTATTTATCTTTAGAAGGGAAGGTGCCAACTACCCTATAAATGCCAAGTAGAACACCCCATATGAGGCAGACAGCATGCTTCCTATGCAAGCCCTGAGGGCTTGGTTTATGATGTCCAAAATATTTACCCACTGAATACCCTTATTAAACCAGGTTATGGTAAATCTGAGATCCAGGGCCACCTTAACATTATATGGCTTTCCTAGTAAAAAAATTTGAACCACAGTACCAAAACCCTCATCAGATTTCTGGTGTCAGTTTTTCTG